TTTTTTTAAAGATTTTATTTATTTATTTGACAGAGAGATCACAAGTAGGGAGAGAGGCAGGCAGAGAGAGAGAGGAGGAAGCAGGCTCCCTGCCGAGCAGAGAGCCTGACGCGGGGCTCGATCCCAGGACTCTGAGATCATGACCTGAGCCGAAGGCAGTGGCTTAACCCACTGAGCCAGCCAGGCGCCCCAAATAAATAAAATCTTAAAAAAAAAAAAAAAAAGTGTCCCCCCAAACACCACACTACTGAGGCAGAGCAGAGCGACGACGACAGATCCCGCAGCCTGCAAGGAGGAAAAGGCAGACCACGCGCCTTCCACAGAGAACGCACTTAGCGTTGTTGCCAAACACGTGTCAGACCACAGGGGAGAGCCGCAGTGGGCAGGGACCACACTGGGGGGCACCTGCTGAGACCCCACCCTCGCTGCCCCCGCAGCTCTTGCCTTCAGCGCCTTCAGGGAGAAGGATCGGGACGAGGTGTCTGAGCCGTGTGTCTCCGACGACAGAGCGTCAAACAGTCTGTCGATCTCCGCCTGCTCCTCAGGAAGAAACTGGGAGCAAAAATTCGGCCCCAACTGGCTTCTGCTGTTCCCCATCCCTCCTTGTGTCCAGCACAATTCTCTGCAGAAGACAGCAAGTTAGAGGTCGAGTTAGAGAGCTCATAGAGAATACATGTTAGTAGGTATACACGGTCAATTAATATAGATTTAGGTGCAAAAAAGCGGCTGAAACTCATCTAGGGACGCCTGGGGGTGCTCAGTCAGTTAAGTGTCTGCCTTCGCCTCAGTCATGATCCCAGGGTCCTGGGATCGAGTCCTGACTCAGGCTCTCTGCTCGCCGGGGAGCCTGTTTCTCCTTCTCCCTCTGCCCCTCCCCTGCTTGTGTGCGCCGACAAATAAATAAATACAAACTTTTAAAAGATAAAAATAAATAAAATAAAACTCATCAGAACTAAGTCATGGAGTGGATGTGAATCAGGCAGGAAAACCGGCCCCGACCCCCATGGTCTCCTCCAGCACACTCGTCTGGACTTACTTGGAAACATGGTTCCTACATGCATGTACCTAAAAGGTAGAAGTGTCTGTTTGTTCCTCGAACTCCTCTTATTTTCAAAACCAACTTGTGGGGCACCTGGGTGTCTCCGTCAGTTTTGGATCAAGTCATGGGATCGAGTCCCGCATCAGGCTCCTTGCTCAGCAGGGCGTCTGCTTCTGCCTCTCCCTTGGCTCATGCTCTCGCTCTCAAATAAATAAAATCTTGAAAAAACAAAACCTAACTTGAAAAAAGTCTGTAAAGCTGGGTGATCACATGTACTTGAATAAAATCACCTTGAAAATACCACCCACGAAGCAAGCATAGGACTGGACAAGCTCTTCCCGGGACCCTGCCTCTGGCCCCAGCAGCTGCAAGGGCTGGGGCAGGCTCTCGAAGCTTCCATGCTTCCACGTCCTCCTGTGTGCAATGGGCATCAGCACGCCCTCCGACAGAGGTCGTGGTGACCACTGGGCTAGGCAGCCCAAGCAAAGGGTTGAGAAGGTGCCCCTGACCTTCAAGGGACAGTCACAGAGACGGGCACCCGAAGGCCCGGGGGTCTTGTTCATTGTCACAGACCCCATTACAGAAAGGGGTTGAGTGCCACCCGATCTGGGAGTCAAACAGAAAAGCACAGCCAGAGAGGAAAAAATCTCTTAAAAGGCCAAGTGCTGCGGCTTGTCCCTCCCACCCTAGACTTCACCTGGAAGCCGGCGTCGATGAAACTGCTGGAGAGAAAAGCACCTTCTTCCCCAGCCCAGGAGGGAATAGCCTCCCACCAGGTCAAGGCAGGCCAGCCCAGGCCCCCCAAGATCTGGTTGATCAGTACCCCGAGGGCAAACAGGGTGCAGCCCTCATTTTTCTTCCTCCTCCTCCTGGAGAGATTCACTTAATGTAAAACTAACCACTTTAAAATGAACAATTCACTGGCACTCGGCGCACAGTGTGGGGCAACCACTACCTCCACCAGGTTCCAGGTATTTTTGTCGCCCCCCAAAGGACACCTCGTGCCCATGAGCCATTCCTCCCCAACCCCTCCCCTAGCCCCCAGGGCCGCCAATGCGCCGTGTCTGCGGGCGTCTCTGTTCCCGACATTCCGCATACACGGAATGACACAATCCGCAGTCTTGCGGGTCTGGCCTCTCTCCAGCAGCATCCGGGGTTCAGGGCTCAGCCGCACCGCCGCAAGCGTCCACTCAGTCCCGTAGGGTTGAGCACTGGTGGATGCCAGGCCACGCTGGGTGTACCTGTTCATCTGCTGTCGGACAGCTGGGCCGGCTCTACCTACTGGGTATCGTCAGTAGTGCTGCTACGGAGTCCCGGCTTTCAGGCCGTGGGGGTACCCACCTAGGAACCGAGTCGCTGGGTCATATGGTGACCCAATGTTTAATTCACAAGGAACCACCAAACGGTGTTCCATTTTCCATTCCCAGCGGCAAAGCGCGAGGGTCCCCATGTCTCCATATCCTCCCTGATGCTTCTATTACTTCTCCATTTTTTTGATTCCAGCCATCCTGGCAGGGGACCCATCTGTCCTGCAGAGAAAGATGCAGGCGGGGACTGGGACAGGGACCTTAGAGCACTTGCAAAGGCAGCTGGAGAGCAGGGCTCACACAGCCCAGCTCGGGGCTGTCACTCACGGGCCACCTGATCCAATGCTTCCACTCCTCAAGTTTCCCAGCAGTGTGAGAGCCAAAAAGGAAAACCTCCAGCCTGGACTCAAGGGCCAGTCTGCGGGAGGCTCTCCTCTTCTCTAAAAGGAGGGGGCTGCGCCAGCTGGTGCCTGGTCCCCTCCAGGGGCACAGCCCAAACAACTGCGAAGAAAACACCTGACTGTGCAGGACTCAAAGGCGAGATGAGCCACCATCGCAGGATTTGTAAATGCCCACTGATCTGGGAGGAGGGTAGCAAAGAGCGCAGAGCAAAGGAAGAAGCTACTGGCATCATTGACGCAGCCGTGAACGGGATACGTTCTAGGAACCGTGAGCCCGTGCTATCCGCACTGAGCGTCCCAAGGCCATGCCCCGGAGGAGTCACCCGAAAGAGGACGTGGATGCCCGCCCGCTGAAGGCCAGCAGGGGCACGTGTGCTCAGGCCGCCTCCCGAGCCGCTGTGCAAGGCAGCACGGGCACCTGGGGAAGAGCATGGGGGGCTGGGTGTGGGGCGGGGGCACACGAGAGGAGTTCAGCCTGGACCGGCTATAACTCAGGGACTGGTTATGTTCGTCACTTTCCCCGCAGATGCAGGAGGAAGAGAGGGGAGCTAAGCCACCACTGGGAAGAGCCCCTCGTGTCCGTGTTTATCAGCAGGGGTCGGGGGTCAGCCATCCCCTCCCCGACCCAGGGAGCCTGCGGGGTGATCTGATCTTGGTCTGTACAGCGTGATCTTGCTTTTGCCTTGTTCTAGCATGGCTCTGCGTGAATCACGACCACTTTAGGCAGAAGTAGTCAGAGGGACACTTCCCCACCAGGACCAGGGAAATTCAAGACTCTCTCAAAATCTGAATTCATTTATCAAGTCGCCAAAAATCTTGTCACACGACCCTCCCTGTGCCCCTCATCTTGCTATTCTGAAGTCCTGAAAATGATAAATGTATAAAAATGCACCCTGGTGAGTCTATCTCATTCTCCAATAGGGGCTTCCTGCCAAAAATCATCAACTTTTTCACTTCAGGAAAACCTTAAGGTTTGGGACCTGAGAAGGCCCAGGACATACCTAAACAACTGGAAGGGATGAAGGTCTTGCCACCCCCTGGGATGGGAAGGACTGAGACGTCAGCACAGCTTCACATCAGAGCTGGAGTCCAACAGAGGCATGTGGTCCACTCGGAGCATCAGACTCTAGTCTCCTATCTGCCTCAGAGGGCCCTCACTGTCCACCTCTGCACACCACCACCCTACACAGCCTTTGGGTTCCAAGACTACCCGGTGTTCCTGACTTTCCTAGAACGGACGGTCGCCTTTAACTGAGAGGCGCACAGGCTCTTCCTCACCACCTCTGCTCGCTCTCTTCACTCACCTCTCCAGGTTCATGCCTGACTCACCTGCTCAAATCTGAAAGTCCCAAGAGACTGTGTCCCCCAACCACCCGCCGAGCACCTGGGCCACCTGGGGCATGCTGGTGCCGTGGTGACCCGGGCTGGCCTGTCAGGTCCGCCAGCCCTTTCTCCCACTGCCTGGTGCCCTCCGTGTGCAAATTCCAGGAGGCCAGCCTGGCTCAGAGCCTGAGAGAGCCCAGGCGCTTCCCCACCGGGACTCACTCCCAACCCCTACCGCACTCAGGGGCCCCTTGGCTTAGTGCCACTCGCTCGACCACCACGACCCATCCCCTACCCAGGGATGGGCTCCTGGATGCCCTCATCCCCGCATCCCACGACCCTACCAGGCCCAAGCCATGGAGGGACTCCACACGTGCAATTCTATTTGCTAACCCAGAAGCCACCAGGGAAAGCCGGTGTCGAGGGCAGGAGGTCCAGCCAATGTCACCTCCAGCCTCTCTTTACCAGCGACGCCATCTGACTGCCTTGCCTCCCAATTCCCCCAATATGGAGAAAGCTTCCGCCTGGCTCAAAACCCAGGAATCACCCTACTAGGGGGATACCTGCCTCTTTAAGGGGGACACCTGGAGCTAAAAGGTCACCAACATTTAAATGCCACTCCATGTCCCAGAGGAGGGAAGAGTGCATCTGGGGGCTGTGCCACTATGGGGCCAGAGGTCATGCCTCCCCCAGCACACAGACCCTTCTGCATCTACTCCCTCCATCAGTGACTCAGTTTCCCTGGGCCAGGCCCCATCACAGAGAGCGGGCAGACACAGAGGGGCCTCAGGCGGGCGCCAGCCTGCAGGAAAGATGTTCAGTGGGGAGAGATGGACAAGCACATCCGGAGTCAGGGAAGAGAGAACTCAGGAGTCAAGAGTCACAGATGTCCCAAGGGACACACTGAGGCCAGGTCTTCAGGCTCCTGCAGGGGGTTCACCTGGGCAGTGGGGACCACGTGCACAAAGGGGCTGGGGTGCAAACCCTGACCACTGAGGCGAGGTCTGGTGCGGGGAGGGGAACCAGAGGCTACAGAGCAAGATCCCCTGGTCTGCCCCTGCCCAGCCCACCCCAGCCTCCCCCTCTGACCCGCTAAACAGGTTCCTCCTGTGTTGTCTGAAAACAGACCAGCACCACCAGCCCTCCCGCTGAGGAAGCAGGACAGGGAGGTGGAGGACAGGGAGGTGCAGACTAGCAGCAGGGGGTGGGTACAGGGCAGCACCAGGAAGAGACACCAGGAAATGCCTGGGAACGGGACACACTGGCAACCCAGGAGGGGGAAGGGCGAGCAGCTGTCTCAGGCAGGAGCTACAGACCTGGAGTGAAAGTAGGGAGGACAGCAGCCTCTGGGAATGGGTGCTGCCCCCTGTACCACTGGTCCAGGTGTCTGCGGGGCGGAATGAAGGAACAGCAACGGAAGCAGGTGTCCCCCACACCCCCCCACCACCCCTTTATGCATCCCAACCTCGGTCACTGTGATCCTGCCCGAAGTCTCTCCAACCAACTCTAGGGAAGAAATGAAGGCCTTTGATGCACCCCTACATCTCCCCAAATACAACTTCCTGAACTTTCTTTCAGTCCCTGACAACGGATTTCTCCTGGGACCATCCCAGGTGCACCTCCTTAGGTAAGACAGTCTGTTCTCCTGGCAAGTTGCACATCCAACAACCCCAGGCTGGCCGAGCCTTCCTCAGGCTTACGTCTATCAAGTTCTTTCAGGGGGAAGGACCTCCATGTTACTGAAGACTCCTTACATCACGCTCTCCACCGGGGGTCGTTCTACCCGCCAGGGCCCACCTGGCAACAAGGCTTGCTTATGATGCTGGCGCTGGGTGGGTAGAAAGCAGGGGCTAAGTATCCTGCTCTGCATACAACGGGCCCCACAACAAACCACCTGGCCCCCAACATTAGTAGGGCTGAAGGAGACAAACTGGCTTTCCAAGACGCAGGCCAGTGAGGCAGAGCTCAAGGGTGGGCACCGAAGGGCCAGCCTCTCGCAGAGGGGCCCTGGGTGCTGCCGTTATGCTGGAGGCAAAGATGGGCAGCCCAGAGATCAAGTTCTGACAGCGTCTGGTTTGAGGACTATGGCCATGTTACTAAGCCTTTTCAGCACAATGAGCAAATCGCCAACCCCCGAGTGAGGTGGAAGAGATTCAATCAGGTTAACACAGGGCATTTCATTCCGCTTTTTGGGGTCCAGAGATGGAGACAGACGGGCCCAAGCAAGGCAAGTTTGAATCCCTGCCCAGCAACAAGGGACCCCCTCAGTGCTGGTGGAGAGCCAGGAGTTTTCCTGCAGAATGGAGCTGCCGTTCCGGCTGGGCTCCCCAAGTGGCTCCTGTCCTCGGGGTGCTCTCCCCTCTGGCCCGCCAAGATCCCACTGCTGTCTCCAAGGGGCCACTGTCCTGACAGCAGTCACCTGGCCCTCAGGGCCCCCTTTCTGCAGAGAGTCCAACCACCTCATCTGGACATCGGGGATTCAAGCCCTGTTTACATCCCAGCCCAGCAGTCCTTCTGCAGAAGGTCAGCTTGGGTGGAGTCCCTGCTGGCTGGAAGGTGCCGGACGGGTCCTGCTCCTGCCCCAGGCTGGCTTCCCTTCCTCCAGGGAGCCCTGCGGACTCATCTGCCTGGGAGTGGCTTTTGTTTATCTCCCCTCTGCGCCAGGACAGCCACCAGGTCCGCTCTCCTGGGACAAGGCTAGTAAAGGGTGGTCAACACAAACCGCCCCCAACGCCCCCCACAGTCCAGTATAAGCCCCCACATCCCCTCCCACAGATGCTCCAGTTATCCCCGCGTCTATGCTGCCTCTCTCGCTGCCCCTCCCCAAAACGGGCCACAACCCTGGGATCCTCTGATCTCGACCACACGAAAGGTAGAAGATGCGGGGTGATTCTGGGCCCCGACTGACCACACGAGGAGACCCTCCCTCCGTCGCAGCTGTCCCCCGAGGGCCCCCCCCCACCTCTCCCACCCTGGGGCCCGGAGGAGTGGGCAGCCAGAGAGGAGCAGGGTCCCGGCCCACTCCAGGCACCGTTCTCTCCCGTGTCCAGTGCCATCTCCCCCGACCCCTCCCCAGGATCGGCCGCTAGCCCCGCGCCGCCGGGACAGCACCCCCCAACCAGGTCACCGCAGCCCACCGCCCGAGCACCCACCGGAACCTGCCAGTCAGGCCGCCCGCAAGGATTCCCCCCCCGCCGGAGCAGCCCGCCCTCGTTGCCAGGCGACGGCGCTGACGGGCAGCTGTCTTCCCCAATAGCAGAAGTGGAAGCTGAGGGGGCGAGGCCTAGAAAGGAGTCGGCCAATGGCCGCGCACCTCGTGGGGCGGGAAGGGCGGGACCGGCGGGCCGGAAGCAGCGCCTGGGCGGGGCGGGGTGCCTGCGGGAGAGGCTGGAGAGGAGCTGGAAGCGGGGTTGGAAAGGGGGAGGAAGCGACTTCAGAGCCGGGGCCAGCGAGGAGGACCCGGGGAGGGAGGGCGAGCCCGGGCTTGGGGTCGAGAGCAGCAGCTGGGCCTTGGAACAGCTGACAGGGAAGAGGCGGTTAACCCGTTGCGGGGCGCCCTTGCAGATCCGGACCCGGGCAGCTCTCCTGTGACCACCCACCCCGCCCTGTCCCCTCTGGTTTGGGCCTGGAGCCCCTCCCACCTGGGGAAGTGCCGCCCCTAACCTGGAGCTCGGGCTCCTGCCCACCCCCCTAACCTCCTCCAGGTAAGCAGGTCCTCGGCCTGCTTTCTCCGACTCCTCCTTCCCAGCAGCATTTACACGTGCCCTCGGGGCACGGGTGGCTCCGTCGGGTGAGCGTCCCACCCCGGGTTTTAGCTCAGGTTGTGATCTCAGCGTCCTGAGCCCCGCGTCTGGTCCGCGCTCGACAGGCCGTCTGCTTCTCTCTCCCCCTGTGTCCCCCAGCTCACTTGCTCTCTAAAAAAAAAGAAAGAATAAAAACACGTGCCCACGTGTGTTCCAACCTTGATAAACTGAGGCTCTCTGCCCCCCACCGCCGTCATTCCTCAAACCCCTGAAACCTGGCCCCAGGGGGCCTGTCCCTAAATCCAACAGGCACTCTCAGCCCTTAGGTGCGGGCTCACAGTGGACATCCTCCTTACTAAAAGCCCTCCTTTCTGGGCATCCAGGTCGCCCGTTCCTGGCTCTCTCTTCCTCTCTCCCAGGCTCTTCGGGCTTCTGCTCTGCCAGAGTTCCTCCAGCATCCCTCCCCGGGCCACGCATCGCTCCCTGAGATAACAGCTTTCCTCGTGACTTCTGTTCCACCTGCCGCTAATGCTGCCCCCCGGGCCTGCGCTCTGACCCCGTCTTTTTGCTCATCGGGCATCGCCACAAGAATGCACCTGAAATTCAGCCCAGCTGAAACCAAACTCGGCCTCTGCCTCCAAAACTGCTCCCCTTTGCTTCCTTCCTTAGTGCGTGTCAGCCCCTCCCATGCCTCCCCTCTCTCTCCCAGGTTCCTTTTTACTTCCAAGATAGCTCCTGCATCCACCTCTTTCCGTCTAGGTCCCCAACAGGGCAGTCTCCAGGCCAGATCACAGTAAGAGCCTCCTTCCTGGCCTCTTGGCCTCCGCCACCCCCCAACCCGCAGCTAGCATCCCAGGTCAGCTGGGCTCTTGATCAGGCCCCAGTGTCAGGCACAGAGAAGGCCAGCGGACGGTTTTTACTGTTCCTCAAGTTCACAAGGAAGGCTATTTCTCAAGCACACAGTAAAAGAAAGGCTTTTGCTGGTCTAAGCACTAAGTGATACCTGTGAAGTATATAATGATCCCTTTGAGTAATGAAATTTTTTTTGAAGATTTTATTTATTTACTTGACAGAAAGCACAAGCAGGGGGAGCCACAGGCAGAGGGAGAGGGAGAAGCAGGCTTCCCGAAGAGTGGGGAGACCCATGCAGGTTGGATACCAGGCGACCTAAGCCTAAGGCAAGCGCCTAACAGACTGAGCCACCCAGGCACCCCGAGTGATCAACGTTTTACTGAAAAACAGCTTTGAACTCCAAAATCTTATATTAGCAATACCTTTGCTGTTTGAAATTCCATCACTAAGACTAAAATTTCCTGCTCCCACTGGAGAATTTAAGCCAACTTTGCCAGAGAACAGCCTGGATTTCCAACCCAGGGGCAGATCTCCAGAGTAGCTTTGCGGTTCCCACGGGAACAGGGGCAGTCCACTGTGTAGGCCTGACCTGACGCTGGGCCCTTCCCACACGGCCTGCTTTGCCCCAAGCCTGTGGAAACACTGCTTCTTTTCAGCCTTCACCCAAACTCCACTTTCCACAAAATCTGATGACAGCTCGGTCTCTGTCAGGTGAGCTGCCAGGGGTTCCTGGTGCAGTGGGTACTACGCTAGTACCCACTAGTGCTCTGGGGTTGATCCTGGGGGTCTTAGGCTGGTGGAACCAAAGGTCCAAAAGGACAATGCTTGTCTCTCCAGTTCACAGATGCACACGGAACAGTGACATAAAAGAGAGGTTTGAGACCGATCAAGGGGAAAAAAACAAGCCCATTGAGAGGTTATCATGGGGAAACAGGTGCGAAAGAAATATCCAGGGATGTCTAGGCTTAAGAACTCAAAGGCCATCTGAAAATTTTCCTTTCTTGTGTCAAAGATCTACGGTCTTTCCAAGCTTTTTTTTTTTTTTAAGATTTTATTTATTCATTCAACAGACAGAGAGAAACAGCACAAGCAGGGGGACCAGCAGACAGAGGGAGCCCAATGTGGGGCTTGATCCCAGGACCCTGGGATCATGACCTGAGCTGAAAGCAGACGCTTAACCAACGGAACCACCCAGGTGCCCCTTTCCAAGCTCTCTCTGCCCAGCCTTGTCTCCCCCCTCCCTACCAATCAGATGCTTCGTGGTCATTTCCCAACTCTGAACCTGGACATGGGAGTTCCTTCCTTCCATGGGCCCTGCCTCAGGGCTGCCCCGGCTGGTGACAGGCATGGTTCCTCATGACAAAACTGGTCTGAGAACCAAGGCCTGTGGGCCAGCAGCAGCAGATCCACGACAGTCAACCCCATGTCCCGCAGACGAACCACCAAAGAATGACCCCGGCTCTCTAGCTCTTCCAAGTTAGCTTTCTGCCACCTGCTGCAAAGGTGGCAGCAGGACTGGGTCCCCCTGCACTTGGGCACACATGTCGGCTCAGGGGAATAAGCAGCAGACAGGCGTGGTTTCAGAGTGCTCCGATCTCTAGAGCCAAGGACTCCCCTGTGCCCACTGCCCACACCTGGGACAGCGCCACCCCCCTCCCTGCCCTGGGCTGGACCCCGGCTGGCGGGAAATCGTTCAGTGGCATTCATGGGGGCTGCCCCATCTACAAGGTCTGCCTGCTCTTCTTCACCCGGAGCTGGCAAGGCTAAGCCACATCCATGATGTAATTGTCCTCCACGAGAAAGGCTTTTACTGGTCTAAGCACTAAATGAGGGGCAGACTTGTTATTCTGTGAAAGGCCAGATAGTAAATACTTGACATTTTTCAAGCCATTCAGCCTCTGCCACGACAACGGGATTCCACTGTCCTTGCAGAGAGAGAGCCGTGGACAATATGCCGTTGAACGTGGCTGTGTGCCCTAATCCTTCAGGAAGGATGCCGAAATGTCAATTTCATGTAATTTTTACACGTGAAATATTCTCGTTGATCCCCCCCCCCCAGCCATTTAAAATGTGAAGATCATCTGTTGCTCACCAGCTAACCCCAAACGACGGCCAGCCAGATTTCGCTTGCAAGTCAGTATGGTTGCTGTTGTGTTTTCACACTATTTATATAAGCTTCAAATTTGCACGTTTGTATTACATACCCTTTAAAAACTGGGGTTCTGGGAGGAGAACTCTCAGTCACAGTTCTGGCCCCTAGCACGCAGAAACTCCACCACAAGACTTGGTCTCCAGAGCAAGTTTGAAATATCCAGAACTTTCCAAACTCGCTTAGGGTGTGGCTTGGTTCTCCAGTCCCTCCTGGGCCACATTCTTGAGTTAAACACTGGATTTGAAGTAACGGTTGGAAACACAGTGATCTCAAAGACCAAGAAACGGACCTTGGGCTACTAGGATGAGCTCATTCTGCATGACCACTTGGGAGTTTTGGGGATGAACAATTCTCAATGACAAGAGAGGCCTAAAAAACCCTTGGAATGAATCCCAAACACACACAGGCATGAACAGTTTTTCAGTTTCTGGCACGTACTATGTAATGAAATTTGGATCTTTCATTATCTGTGGAGCTACGTGCAATGAAGAAATTTGGAAAGTTAATAAACTATACATACATACACACACACGCACATATATACATATATATATGTATATAAATATATATGATTGACTAGAGGCAAATCTTCCCTTCGAAAAAAAAAAAAAATCCAATAATTTACATAGATGGACCAAAGTTAAGGAGGTAGATCCTAACTCCCCAGTCCTTAGGTGAACGGGGGATAATGACTTCCTCCCAAAGGGGACAGGATGGAAACAGGAGAGGGATTAACCCTACAATGGACAAACCTGATGGAGGTGACTCTGCTCCAGGGAGGGAGGGTTAATCCCTCCCAGGAGGAGGGTCCCCAAGGCCATGGAGGTGAGGGGAGATCCGGTGGAGGGGCACACTTGTTGGGGGCGCTGAGGCCATTTCCCCAGCACAAAGTGGCAAGCCAGACTCCCATCTCAGGGCCAGTGGAGGTTTCATTAGAGGGGTGGGATCTAGGACAGGATTCAGAAGGCAAGGTGGGCACGGCCACCTGGAGTCACTGTGAAAAAGACCGTCCCCAGGGTGTAGCGGTGACTGCCTGTAAGGGCACCGGCCAGCCCAGGACGGACACTGCCCAGTCCGGGAACTTGCATTGAGCAAGGAAGTCCCCAAGGAGGGACGGAAGTGACCACGTGATCCATTATCAGCTCTGAACACGGGCCAGGCTCAGGTGGCCAGGAACCAGCTTGCCACAGTGGGAGGCACCCACATTCTGATCTTCAGAACCTGTGACCTTATGTGGCAAAAGGGACTTGGCAGATGTGATTAAGTTAAGGATCTTGAAAAGGGGAGATAATCCTGGATGATCCAGTGGGCCTGATGTCATCACGGGTCCTTCTGAAAGGCAGGCAAGAGGGTCAGAGACAAACAAGGAGACAGGAAGATAGAAGGGGGGGAGGGGAAGGAAGGAAGGTGCTGTC